TGATTGTTCACTATTTTCAAAATTTAGTTTTTTTTAACCGATAATTCTAATTTACTCCTAAGCTAACAACATCTATTTCACCTATGTTCACAACATGACTTAAACCTTCGACCTTAAAAAGGAAAGACATCACCTGATACCGCTAGGCTACAAGCCCTTTGGTTCAAAATTTAGTTGTTTAAAAAAAAATAGATCTGTGCTGCTAGGTGTGTGATAGACTTGTGTGTAAAAATACCCAATGCCTAATGGTATAGTATATTATTAGCCATTAACCTAATGATTAAGCAAACAAAACAAAGAGGATCCTCCGTAAGATTTTCCTGATTAGAAAAGGTATAAAAACCATGTAGTAGCTTATAACCTTTTTAGAAACTTTGAGCACAAGCACATACTCATTCATTCACCATTTTATACCAAATAATTTAGGGTCCTATTATTAGGCTCCATATTTTTTTTACTAGATCCTCTAATTATGATTTTTTTAGTCAAACTAAAGTTTTTTTTTTCAACATCTTGGAAATTAAACATTTTGACTTTTGAAAGTTTAATATTTTCAGTTTTTTTTCTGTAAAAAAAAAGTCATTGAATACTTTGATTTGTTACTATCAAAGTTTATTTTAAATAATCTAACCATCTTATTTAATTTTTTTTTTTTTTTAATTTAACTTCATTAATATCACAACACATATAATATATATTATAACAAATTCAATCTTGATATTTACAAATTCAGTTTTGATCTTTACAATTTAGACCATTGATATTTATAAATTTCAAACATTGAAAATTGTGTGCTCTTAATAGCTGATTAATTGTCAGCTAATCCAACTATAACACATCTAATATAAAATCAAAACATTTTTAATGTAAACAAACAATAATAACTTTTGTTATTAACTTAAGGCAAAATAGAAATCATTGTAAAAATCTTTTCTATCCACTCTTATTATCCATCACCTCTGGCAACCTACCACCTCCACTAAACACCGCCGTCTCCACCTCCACTAAACACCACCGTCACCACCTCCAATTCGAACATAAAATGAGTGAGAGAGAGAAAGAGGTGGTGGTCCGACTATCAAAGTTTTTGAAGTAGAAATAGACGAGGGAGGGACAGATACGGGTGAAGGAGATGAGTGGCGACATTTGGGTGTTGTCAGAAATTCATGTGTATGGTGGATGAAGAGGGAGGTGTGATGTAGATGAGGGGAGACAAATTCTTTGGTCTTCGTTTTCACTTTTGAGGTAACCGTGATATGAAAATCATAGGGGTAGATGCTGTTGCCGGCGATGGATGTTGTTGTCGGCGGTGGATATGGTCATAGCTCCTGGTCGGCCGATGGAGTTGCTTGTACTTGGGTTGTGAGGATGAGAGAATAGGTGGCTGATAAGAGTTTTAGATTTTAGGGTTTAGTTTCTAATTTATAGGCGGTTGGTTTATGTTTTAAAAGAATTGGACTGGGCTTTTTAAAAACAAAATTTTGATTTTTTCTTAAAAAATATGTCTTTTCTTATAAAATTTATTTAAATAAGTTTTGTTAGTATTAAATTTTATAAAATATTTATTTTTATGTATTATATTTGTGCAATATTCTGATTATTTATCTGTTTTTTAGAGATGTTTAAGTTTTTTGGAATCAACTTGTCCGCTAGAGATGAAGATTTTTCTAAAAAAGCTTCGGCATTTTCCACCAACCAAATTATATAATTATATCAACTATGATGCTTTCAAATACAACATATATACTAAATCACTTGAAATTTGATTGCAGAAGTTCAAGTCTCGCGAGGAATTATTGGAGTGGACACAAAACACCGCACGTTCTTTAGGATATGTCATTGTTACTAGAAGATCAAAGGCATATGGGAATGGTTTCGTGTATAAAGTCATACTTATATGTGATCGTGACAGAGAGTATAAACCTAAAGGGTATACAATTAAAGCATCTGGAAGCAAAAGGACTAATTGTCAATTTCAACTGGAAGGAAAGTATTCAAAAGAACATGATAAATGGACGCTAAGGGTAATATGCGATGAACATAATCATCCATCGACACAACATATGGAGGGTCATCCATTTGCAGAGACGGTTATCTGTCGATGAGACACGTTTGGTGGCTAATTTAACAAGAAAGAACGTGGCGCCATGTGACATCCTGTCAACATTGAATGTTTAAAACGGAAACAACGTGTCGACAATTAAAACAATATACAATGCACAACAAAATATTCGGATGCACGAGCAAGCATGAAGAACTCCAATGCAGGTTCTTATGTCCCTTTTACACACCAATGATTATGTTTATGAGTTTACTACAGGTGATTCAAATATGTTACAAATTTATTTTTCATTCATCCAACGTCTTGGAAGATTTGGTGTGCATTTCCACATGTGTTCATAATAGATGCCACATAGAAAACCAACAAATATAATAAGCCGTTTGTTCAAATTGTTGGTGTCACATCACAACCAATAGAGTCAAGAGTGTACATGCCAATTTAAATATATTTTTGGACTCTGCGAATTCTAATCTCGATAGATTTGTGCAACAAATTAATGAAATTTGTCATTGGCAACTCACTTCAATCAACGAAAGCTTTGAAAAAAGCTTAATTTTCCGATATAAGCATAACAATTTGTACTGCTTTGGGTTACTGAGAGGTTCTGTGTCGAACGAAGCTCTTGATATAATATTAGGAGAGCTCCAAAGGTTAAAAATGCGTCAAAGTCGGACTCCTCGAATTGTGGTTGCAAACTTCGTACTAGTTGTGGGTTACCATGTGCATGCGTGCTTTCTGTTTACTCAAACTCAAGTTAGTATGTTCAATTACAACGTATATAAAATTTTAAATATTACAAAAATATTTATTTTGTATTTTAATATAGGTGAAGAAATGCCCTTGGATTTAATAGATATCTTTTGGAGAAAGCTTAGTATTTATGATACGAAACCTGAAAAAAAAAAGTCGATATTCGTTGCAACGATGAAGTTGAAAAGTATAAATAAAATTTCAACAAGCAGTCAGAAGCAGGAAAAAAAAATTTGTTTAAAAAAACTAAAAGAGATATACGATCCACGCACAATTGATGTTGAGAACCCACATTTCAAAATAAGACCCGCGGACGACCGAGTATGAAGAAACAACATAAAAAGAATGTCAACCCTCTTAATCAAGCTCCTCCTCAATGCAACGAGTCTACCACATAAGAGTCCATTGGGTTGGATTTAAATAAAGAACTTGAAAGGTATAATTATTTGTACGATGTTGACTTAAATGAAGAACCACAAATGCATGATCCATTCATAATGAAGAGTATTCCTGATGTATTTCATGATTACATTGATAATATACAAGATGTACTCGGTGATGGAAACTGTGAGTTTCGAGCGGTAACTGTTAGTGTAGGGCACAATGAAGACCAATGACTATACATTCAGAAACAATTGCTTGAAGAGTTACAAAGTCAATTTTATGCATACCAACAAGTTTTTACTGATGGGTTCAATGAGGTATACAAGTCTTTGTATTGGTTCGAATCACCTACATATATGTGACATTGGATGATTATGCCTTTGACTGGTTACTTAATTGCCAACAAGTTTGGTGTGATTGTTCATTGTCTAAAGCATGAACAATCTTCAACCTGCTTCCCTCTTTGGAGAGGTCCCGAAGAGTTTCAACCTTACCGAAGCATTATAGTGGCACTTGTAGGCATACATTATATTTCGGTGTCTTTAAAAGGAAATTACTCAATGCCTCCCACCACAATATACTGAAATGCTCATAAAAGCTCGTCTACATCTTTCTGGCAAACTATGTATTGATCGCGTTTCGAATTATACAATCAATATAGGCTTCGTAGTTCTGAAATACCTTGGATAGATATCAAGGTTTAAGTATAAATGTATTTGAACTCTTTTGATATGTATTGCTTTCAAAATTTTGTTTTATTATTAGTATGTCATATTTGTAGTCTTTTGTTATAATATTTTTAAATAAAACGATTTTAATACTTACATACAAATAACCTAAAAAATATAAAATAAAAAATAAATAAATTATATTTATTTATATTTAACCTATTTTATTTTGCAAGTTTAAAAAAGATTATTAGAATCTACTCTAATAAATGAAGGTTTTTTTTTGCCACATATCACACTCTCATTAATTTGCCAAATGTAATCTTGTGATTATTTTGAATTAACTTTATTTCCACATGTCATTTTATGGGTTTTTCTATTTTAAGAAATTCCACATAATACTTTAATATAATTATTATAATAAATGTAGTAATAAATGAATATTAAATTATTAGGGAACTTACCTTCTTATTTCAAAATACTCAACTTAAAGCTTATTAGTTTTTTTAGTAGATTTATTTAAATTTTAAAGATAAAAAATAAAATTTAATAATTCATTATTTTTCTTATTTTCTTATAAGTACACAGTTCTTAATTATTTAGATCTTTATATGTTTTTTAATTAACCCATGTAATATATGGGTTTTACACCTAGTACTTTTATATTAAGTAGTTAATAATTACAAATAAAAGACATAAAATTATTATGTAATGATGGTTATTAAAAAATAATTATTATATAATGAATTATTTATTTAAATAAAAAAATAAAGTAATGATGAGGGGTCATTTAAGATTATTAAGGAGTCTAATTAGATGGACCCATTATCACATGATTGTTGAAGGCCGATAGTACGTACTTGAGGTAGGAGTCGTAAACCATGGTTCCGAGCCAAACAATATACTATTAACAAATACGTACATGCAAAAAGTCGAACCTAAGAAGACATTGACTACGAGGGTATTATGTTTGATTTTAAATTGGATATGTTGATACTTTTTATATCTTATAAGTGGCTTTTATGTTTGATTATGTTATAATATCAGGAGTTGTTTGTTGTATAAAATACAAGGATTATTATTTTTTTTGGAAACGGGCAAGGATTATTATTTAACATACGATACGCATATCTTAGATGTTTGGTACACAAAATAAGTTTTCAATGATGAAGAAAAGATACATTGGTGATGGTATGTTAACCTAATTTTAAATTCTATATTTTTTTAGTGAATAAAAAAAATAAAGTCGCACTTGGCCTTTTAGGGTTGAAACTCTTCGTTATTGGCCATCGGCGAACAAAGGGTCCCAATGCCCATCACCACCCCATTGGTCCCACAGCAGATCCTATAAGCTTTTCTTATCGTACGTCAGCGCAAATCCGTCGCCCTCCGCACTTCGTATTTGCTCACAATCATCATCAATCAATTCAAAGCTCGCTCTCTCGCCGGACAGAGCAGGTATACTCTGTTATGTAAACTACAGACCTCCGTCCAGTATATCAGCATACTTTGCATCGAAGAATTTGATCTCCAATCAACAATCCTGGAGTTGCCTCTGTTTTGCCCTAATTTTCCTGATTAGGGTTTCAGTTCCATCTTGCTTGCCTTACGATTGGAAAAAAAAAAAACTCACCGGTTTGATTCAGTGGTTCACAAGGATTCACGGTAAGTTAATCTAATCAAACCTTATGGACTTATATACATGAGAATGTTGAACCTTGGTGCGATCTTTCGTGGCTTTGGATAAATTTGTTTTTCACTTTACGTTGATATTTGAGGTGAAAGTTAGTTTTTACGTTGTTTTGTGATTCTAATGGGCCGTTAAGATTGAATTTGATAAATAAATATGACATTATTAGGGGCTTATAATTCAAGAAAATTGCCGATTACGTCTCTGGAAGTTTATAATTTAAAAGCTGTGCCTGTGGCATATCCGGTGACAGAAATCTCTTAATAATGTTTCGCAACTTTAATTTGTGTAGAAGGAAAAATAATTTTTTGATTTGAACTGATAGGGCTTCAAGTCCAACCGCGAACCCCAAAGTTCATGCCAACAAGTACTGCCTTATTCGAACTGTAAATAACTCAATGCGTCTTTATGTAAAGTTTTCAACTTCCTTGTAATATGATGCTGTCTTGAAATCTAGTGGTAGGATGATTGTAGGTTAAAACCTGGTTTTGAGTAATGGGAAGTAGGGAGATGGATAAACCTGCAAAGGAGGCAAAAGAATTGGCAAAAGAGACTCCAACTTCCCAGGTGAATTTAATGCTCTTTCTCCTTTTTTAGGTGTACATAAATGTTGTTGTAATTATTACATTCATCATATGTGTATATATACCTATTACTGAACTGAGTATCAGAATGACATATTTATATCTGTCGTATCTTTTCTATGTTCAGGAGCAGTCCTCAGGTAATCCCATGGGGGCTGTCCCTGATTGGACGGGTTTTCAGGTTTCATATCTTTTAACACTTTTAAGCTTTTTGAAGCATGTATGATGTGAGTCATTAGACTAAATCTAGGTGATATGCACATCTTGAACAGGCTTATTCCCCTATGCCTCCACATGGGTACTTAGCATCAAGTCCTCAAGCACCTCCCTACATGTGGGGGGTTCAGGTACACTAGACTTCTTGGATTATTGATTTTGCTCAATGTAATTATTGCTGATAACTTAGTCTTATTCTACATTGAATCATTCTGCATCTTTTAATAGCTATGTGTACTTGCAGCATCTTATGCCACCTTATGGTGCACCCCATCCGTATCTTGCTATGTATCCCCATGGTGGCATGTATACTCATCCATCTATGCCTCCGGTATTCTTGTTATCATTTTATCATATTTGTGCTAGAGTTTTTCTATATCTCCCTTATAGTCACTGATGTTGAAACCTATTTTGAATTCAACCAGGGATCATATCCTTATCCATATGCAATGCCCTCTCCAAACGGTGTTGCTGAAGCTTCCGTGAGTTGCACGAGCTAATACTTTTATAAAACTTTTTACTATTCGAAAGTTTATAATAATATGTTAAAAACAACCTTTGAATTTGCATGTAGGGTAACACTACACCTGGAAGTATGGAAGTGAATGGTAAGTCATCCGAGGGGAAAGAGAAACTTCCTATTAAAAGATCAAAGGGAAGTCTTGGAAGTTTAAATATGATCACAGGCAAGAACAATGAATCCAGTAAAACAGGCGCATCTGGTAATGGATCTTCTCCCAAAAGGTAACAACAAACCATTTGACCTTGTTTATGTGTATATAAAGTTTACTTGATTGATATTGGATTTTCAGTGGTGAGAGTGGAAGTGAAGGTTCAAGTGAAGGAAGTGATGCAAATTCTGAAAATGTAGGTATTCTTACAAGTAGTTGTTTAATACAAGTGAAGTGATGGATGAGTCTGTATATGAGATATGGTATTGCTTTTGTTTTTTGCAGAATTCACAAATGAAGTCAGGATCCAGACAGGATTCTATGGAAGGTTGGGTTTTTTAGTTGTAGAAGCTTCTTACAATTGGAATGTTAATATTGGGTACTACAGGTGAAGAATCTCAGAATGGAAACAACATGCATGGTTGTCAAAACGGAGGGCCAAATCATTCAATGGCAATTGTGCCAATATCAGGTCCAGGAAGTGTTGTAGGTCCGGGTCCCACGACAAATTTAAATATTGGTATGGTGCAAATTCAAATTCAAATTCATCATCCTACTCTCGTATTCCTGCAATTTGTGGAAAGGTAACTTGTGCTTCAGTTTCAGGGGGAATGCTTGCTGCTGCTGGCTCAAGGGAAACCATTCAGCCACAGATATGGCTACAGGTGTTGTTTTTATTTTAACTTATAACTTGTCTTTTTTATTCTCTCATTACTATAATTTTGGATGTTTAATGATTGTTATTTTAGGATGAAAGGGAGCTAAAAAGGCAGAGAAGGAAGCAATCGAATAGGGAGTCTGCTCGCAGATCCAGATTGCGCAAACAGGTAAGAAACGTTTCCCTTTCAGCAAGAAATACCAATTTAGGAAAGAAAGAAATGAAAGCAGGATGCTAAGATGAATAATTCAATGCTATATTTAACCCTAAAATTGATTGATGTGATGAGTCAGGCGGAATGTGATGAGCTGGCTCAACGGGCGGAAGCGTTGAAGGATGAAAACGCGTCTCTTAGAGCGGAAGTGAGTCGCATTAGGACCGATTATGACCAGCTTCTTGCTGAGAATGCATCCCTTAAGGTGCTACTTTTTTTTTATTTTTAAACTTGCTTCTTCCTTTGAAGGCTTGTTTTATTATTATCATTATTTTTGTAATTGTGATGTGGGTTTTGCAGGAGAGACTAGGGGAAACTCCTAAAAAAAATAATGAAGAGGGAGAAACGCAAGTTGTGCAGAGTGGGTAGCAAACGTAGTTGACAGAGGGGAGGTGGGGTTTAACCTTAACGGAATGGAATTAGCAAACAGGAAAATCTGTGGTTTTGCTTACATTACATGGTAGTAACTATTAGTAGTAGTAGTAGTAGAAAGACCCCATTGATACTGACCATTTTTCCTCTTTTAGATGGCAGGATATTAATGACATGATATTAATTGTATCCATCTTTTCTGAATTCATCTATCTTTTGAGCTTCTTGAGGAACATAACTTGTAGAGTGCCAAATACGTTATATGACGTTTATTGACTTCAAAGCTTTTCATCTCACCTCTTTAAATTGCAGACGAATTTTTTTGTTTTCAGTCAATCAATAATAGCCGTGGATGTGGATTTTTAACAATTTAGTCTTTGATATTGACATTAGATAGTGATATAATGTTTTTTAGTCTTTACTAATTCCTAACCTTTTAGTCTTTGCCATTAAAGAATCTTTTGACGTAGACAAGCTTATATCGTTAAGCAATTTATTGACGAACTTATTAAACTGATTAAAAATATTCGTGACAGGAACAAGGCTTGTTTGTTTATGATTTTGGTTGGGAATTGGGATGTGACCTAGTCCACAATACATACGAGGTTTTGTTTACGTACTTACAAGTTGGGAGTAAAATAAAAGAACTATAGAAACTTTTTATATATTAGTTGTGAATATCAGATTGATGAAAAAAGGTAAATATGAAGGTGCAATATTTTTAAAATAAAATTTCAAAATAAAGACGATCGAAATGAAAAACAGTTAAGTAGTTCAGTTTATATTAATAAAAGAAAACTATTGACATATTAAAAAAAAAATTGTTCCGAATCACAAATCCCTACATAATTCTTTGAATACAATATTAGATGCTTTGTTGTTGAACACACACGTTGAATGAAAAAGAAAACCAAATTATCGGATTGTTAGGCTGTAGATTGTCTTCTAACAGTTAGTAAGCAATTTCTTTTTTTCTTTCTACTTTACTTCTACATTTCACTCTTCAGTCCACACGCTAATCGTTCTTTAATAAAAATAAAAAACCAAAATTAGATATAATCAAAGATATAGAAATATGAATGAAATATTATGTCACATAAAAATCTCAAAAGCAATGAGCTATTTTAAAAACTTTATAACCACATTTGTTGGGTCAAAAAATTAAAATTAAAATATCAAAACTATAATAAGGAAAAAAAGGATGATATCTCACTCAACTTGTAACATAAACAAAATAAATATTGGAGGAAACATTAAAGAAGAAAAGATTACATGAGAAAAAGAGGAAAACTTGCACAAAAAGTGTAAACCTTTATTAATTACTTGCAACAAATTCTTACAAAGACAATATATACATATTTATACACGATGAAACAATACAACGCTTCATGAACCGTTGCAAATTTTGGAGCCAAACGTAACTGCCCTTGCCCCTAACAAACTGCCTTCCCAACCATATTAATTACTAAATTAAGCCTAATGAATGCTAATAATACCATTATCAGATCACACAACTTATTTTATTTTTAACAATAAATAATTGAGATGTGGGTGCGGATTATAACATACCCTCTACATATACATGTAAAAAGAGTTTTGGGTGTTGAACTCCAAAACCCAAGAAATGGAGCAAGTTTGAACCACCTACAAAAACAAGCAAACCATTTCTTGATGTCTAAGTGATATAATAGTTCATACAAAAATATCAACCTACCATTTGATGCCACGGTGCTATAAATGTTAAAACATGGTTTTAACATTAAGTCTCCTTAACCTATAATTTTTTTTTTTAAAATACATGTCAATAAATAACAATGTACTTTATCATCTTTTATTTTACTAAAATGACATAAACAACTTTTTGGAAAAAAATTATCAAGAAAAATCGCCTAAATTACAAAAAAAAAAAAGGATAAGACCTATTTGGTCAAACTTATGAAACATTATAATCAAATGGCAGATTTAATGTCACATATTAGTAAAAAGAAAGTCAAATACTATTATTTGTGAATGGTTGAAGTGTAGACGTGTAGGTTCTCAATTTAGGTCAATCCCTTCTAATCTTTCACGTCTCTTTAGATTCTCGCTATGTGTTTAAATATTTTGTAATGGTTTTTGTACAATGATTGGAGAGTGGATGTAAGTAGCAATGGATTATACATTAAATGGTTGAGGTGTTGAGGCAAATACATGAGGGACGAGGGTCGACCTGCCGGAGGAGATAAAGACTATGGTGTATCCTAGGTGGGTGGTCATTAGTGTTGGAAACTCCTTCAAATAGTACCACATAAAGTTACTCATACAAGAACTAATTAGTTTGTAAATATATGCTACATTGTAAGAAAAATTGTGCTAACATTTAGATAAAATAAAATGATCTTAACAATTAACAAACGAAGAAGTTTATCATATTATAAAATAAAATCTATTCAAAAGATCTAAAAGTAAAACATTTATAAGTTTAATAAAAACAATATAAGGATAGAAGTGAAGGAAAATAAAGTCGAAGTCACCAACTAAAAGTAACATAAATTAAAAAAAGACAAAATTTCAAAAATGGTCCATGTGGTTTTTAAAAATATCAAGTTTAATCCCTAAGTTCAAAAAACCTCACAGATGGTCCCCTGTGGTTTCAAAACTTTTCACAAATGGTCCTTCCGGCTCACTTAGTTAGCATTCCACCGTTAACTCATTTTTTAATAAAATATTGCAGGGGTAATTTCGTTATTTCAGTTGTAACTTTCTCTCTTTAAAAGAAATTGCATGTCCGATTTTTGGTTTCCCCTTTAGCTTTATCAGTCCTCATCTCTCCTCTCATCCTTTCCACTGTTGCTTGACCGTTGCACCCTTCACGACATCGAATCGCTTCTGATTCAAAGATGGTGACTTGCAGGTGTGGGAATGAAGCAACGAAGATCACTTCATGGACGGATCGTAACCCTGGAAGACAATTTTGGAACTGTAGAAGATGTGGTTTCATTCGATGGTCTGATCCTCCTATGTGTGCTAGGGCATTGGTGGTGATTCCAGGTTTGATAAGATCAAAGAATCGATTGGAAGAGAGGGTCGCCATTGTAACTGCAGAATTGTGGAACTACCAACTGATGTTGTTTTGTTCATGGTTTTTTTTTGGGATTATTTTAATCTCTAAGTATCTTGTGAAGGTTTGGATGGTATTGGAGTTTTGGTTTTTGGTTTGTAACCATTGCAGGGTTTTTTTTTTTTTTTTTGGGGGTTTTTGCTTTCAGTTTATGTAGGTGGTTTTGGAATTGGTATTGTTGTATTTGGTTTATGTATCAGATTAACGTGTAATGCAGTGGTAATGGTAATGGTAATGGAATGTAGTTTGTTATAGTTCATTGTTCAATTTCTTGAATGTTTTTGAAATGCAATTGTTAAGTGTATTGTAAATGCATCTTGAAGATGGTTTTCATTTGCAATTGAAATGTACAATGTTATTAATTGATCTGTGAAGGGTAGTACACTAAACATATTAATTCATTACCAAAAAGTGCATACACACCATTACATTAAAAGTTATAAAGTTCTTAACACAACCATGGTGCAAAGTTTTCAAAAGACCTACAACACAAGCATTACATGCAAAGTTTTCAAGTTCTTAACACATCTTCAAACAAGTACACATGCAAAGTTTTCAAGTTCCTAATAACCACTAAAAATAGTTTTCAGCCCCCTCCAACTTCACCACTGCCTCCCTGCCCTTTACATGTTCTGGAATTGTGCCCTTTGTTATGACACTTTGAACAAATGACTGCCAAATATTTCCTGCTCAATCTACCAGCTTGGCTGTTTGGATCATCAACACCCCTCCATCTCTTCTTCTTAGGCCTCCCAACCTACACATATTGATATACTATAGTTAAAATTGAATTCATTCCATGTTCACATGTATACTATATATTTGGTGTACTTTAAATACAAACATGTGTCTTATGTTTTGGTGGAAGTAAAGTGAATGGGCAGTCACTTTTAGGCCACATTGTACGTCTATTCAATGGATCAATTTTGTTGAAATACATGGCTTTCCATGTTGATAACCTATATCAAGGATGGACCTATTCATCAATATGTGGGGCAATTTCACCATTTTCAATTTTATCCCATATAGCACAAACAACATGTCTACATGGGAAAAACTGTAATCTCCCAAAACCTACAACCACAACTTTGATCATTCAAGTTTACCACATACTGGTCTTGCCATGTGCTTGCCACTTGGTACTTTCCTGCCCCATTGTATTTAGCCACATACTTTGATGCATCAGTCTTAATCTTTTCAAACAGTGTAGTTGCAGTAGGGGTTAGAAGTCCTTCACACTTATCTATTTCCTTTTGCACCACACATAACCTCTTCATGAGATACTCTCTAATATACTCTAAGCAAGTGATAATAGGTTTATCCCTACCTTCATCTAGCTTAGAATTGAATACCTCGCAAAGGTTATTCAACAAACAATCAGTATGTGCCCTTCCTGAATAATAGATATTAAGAGAAGATAATTACACATATAGTAAACACACAACAGGGAAGATTAACATTTCTCAATAAATTTCAAGAAACTTACCACTAAAGTGAGATTTAGCCCAAGTGTTTGCTGGGATCTTAGACACCCAAGCATGAGCCTCTGCATTGATCTTCTTCAACTCATCCATTGCTCTGTTAAAATGATTGACTGTTGTTGCTCTACCACACTCCCAAAGCTGGTCACTTAAGTCTTTTCCTTTCCACTGTTTCTTCATGTTTTCCTGGATATGCCTCAAACAGAACCTGTGTTCTGCACTAGGGAATACCTTCTCCATTGCTGGTATTATTCCCTAAACAAAACTCAATGTATGCAACATCAGTTAACCAAATGTATTTAGAAAAGGTAATAAAAAAGTTAGGTGATACACACCTTTTGTCTATCCGAAATGAAGGTAAAGTTTGAATTTGGTCCCAGATCCAGATCTTCTCCTAACAGTTCCAAAAACCAGGTCCAACTACTTGTTGATTCTGTCTCTACCACTGCATATGCTACAGGGTATATGCCATTGTTTGAGTCCAACCTACAACAGTTAACACTTGCCCAGGGTAAGGGCCCTTCATGAAAGTACCATCTAGACCTAGAAAATCTCTTAAATCAGATTTGAATCCTAACTTCAATGCTCCTAAACAGACATATATTCTTCTAAAAGTTCTTGTGGTAATAGACACGGAGGTTTCTGGATACACATCAATCCGAACTGTTGTACCAGGATTAGTGTTGAGTAGCTCCAACACATAATCCCTCAAAAATCCATACTGTACTTGGTAGTCCCCACTAATGATACGCTCAGCCATTAACTTTGTCCTAGCAACCTTTTGCAATGACATTCCTACCTCCAGTTTCTTGCACAACTCTTCGTGTAAAGCTTTCACTGGAATTTTAGGGTTACTCTGTATTTTTTGAACAATTAAGTTTGCTACGTATCTGGAAGTGCAAGCTTTAACCGCCCTTGTTTGCAAACATTTATGCTCATCCTATACTGTTTTCACCAACCAATCCTGATTTTCATTAGCCCTCGATATTTGGACTGCCCATGGACATGTACCTTTATTGGCAATTACATCTTTACCCTTGCACTTTGCCCTACTTCTAGTTGAGGGCCCACCACCATCAACTCCTGTAGAGGGCTTACTTACAACACCTTTACATAGGGATGAGCAAAAGGACCGGGGAACCGGTCGGAACCGGAACCGGTTCCGGAACCGACACCCGATGGAACCGGTCGGGCCGGGACCTATACTATAAATTCGTGATTATTTGGAACCGGGACCCGGAAAGAACCGGCTATTGGAACCGGCCCAAAACCGGGAACCGGCCCGGCTAGAAAACCATGTCACGTAATGACGTTCACGATCGATCCCACCTCGGCACCTTCTGCTTGCGATACACACAAAAAAAACTTCTTCTTCCCATCTAGCCTCAAATCGCAACCGATCTCGTAACAAAAAAAACGCAATCGGTCTTGTGAGTCACGACCACGATCCCAACTCCCCAAGTCACGAACCCTACTCTCTTCAACAATCGGCAATCAACATCACTTCATCATCATTCAATTCTTCATCTCCAAGTTTCCATCGATTACAAGTTTCCATCTCCAAGTTTGAATCGATCTTCAATTCTTTATCATCATTCATTGATTTTCATCTTCAATCGCTTCAATGATTCAAACTATGGATGTTCATGAAGATCAAGTAAGAGCATATATTTATATTTCATGTTTTAAGATTATATATTTCAATATTTGCTTCAATGCTTCAATGATTCGCCAAATAATGACATGCATGCAAGTTTTTTTTTTCTTTGGTTTTGTTGTCTCCATTCCAAATATATGCATTGTTATCCCTACTTAATTAAAAGATCTTGATTCTTGATCATAGTCTCATAGTGGAGTACTCCTTTACGGATGAAAGGTTGTACATATAATATATGTTTCATGTTTTAAGATCCATTTAACAATGTACTTTGTAGACATACATGCAAGATTTTTGTTAGATTAGTTTATTGTTTATAGTATGAATGTAATTATGTAAGATTGTCAAAACTACGAATTTGTATAGTACTTTTGTTATATAATTAATGTGTAAAATTGACATTGTAGGATTTGGATGGCCTACCAAATGTACCATCATCAAGATACCGAAACTCGGATGCTCATGATGCCAATATTGAAGATGGTAATCCGGCTAATTGGATTGGAAAAGACTTTGATGACCAAGTAAGATTAGCATTTAGCTCATTAGCAATATTTATTTCTTTAGCAATCTGTCCAAATATTAAATTGTGCATAACTAGTTCAATTTAAATTGTTTTGACCTGAATCTTTTTCCTACATGTAGATTAGGATTGGTAGTTGAATTTAGACTATAAAAACGCTTGATTTGGTTAAAAATTGAATGAGTTACAAGCCCCGCAAAGAAGGGTGTCAAATCTGATTTTTTTTGTAACATCAATAAAACGTGATCTGATTTTGTTGTTCAAATGTGTATAATTCATTCAATTTAACTTGTTTTGACCTGAATCTTTTTCCTACATGTAGATTAGTATTTTTAGTTGAATTTAGACTACAAAAACGCTTGATTTGGTTAAAAATTGAATGAGTTACAAGCCCCACAAGGAAGGGTGTCAAATCTGATTTTTTTTTTCTAACAGCAATAAAACGTGATCTGATTTTGTTGTTCAAATGTGCATAACTCAATCAATTTAACTTATTTTGACCTGAATCTTTTTCGTACATGTAGATTAGGATTTGTAGTTGAATTTAGATTATAAAAACGCTTGATTTGGTTAAAAATTAAATGAGTTACAAGCCACGCAAAGAAGGGTGTCAAATCTGATTTTTTTAATATTTATTTTTCAGCATTTAAACATAATATGACTTATTATATGTTTTATTTTGAGAATATAGGATTATGGAGAAGATTCAGAAGAAGATTATATAGAAGAAACATCGGCATGGAATGTTATACCAAGTGATGAATCAAACCAAGAAGAGGAGCCACAAGAATAACAACCTTCAAAAAAACGACAATTTGCAACCACACAAAAACAAAGACAACCAAAAAAACCAACACAAACAAAAACACCACCACCACCACAAAAACGAACACAAGAAAAATACCCAACAAAACCAAAACCCAAAAACAAAAAAAAGACTCAAAAGGAGTTAAGAGACCAGATTAACCCAACCAGACGAGGTGAGGGTAGAGATAATTGTACCGCTCCTGTTTGGAAATACTTCGAGATCGAATGGACAAAGGAGGCGATGGAATTGAAAGAAAGTGGGCCGAATGTAATTATTGTTTAGATTTACTAGCCGTAGATCCAAACCGGAATGGGACAACTTCAATAAACAAGCATTTTAATGGGTGCAAGTTAAATCCAGACAACATACCTAAACAAGTTGATGACAAACAACAAAAGTTGTCATTTACGAAAGCTCCTAATGGTGAGGGTCATGTATACACATGGAAACATGATGATACTAGGATCCAACTTGCCTTGCTAGGACTTTTCACCATCGGGGAACTACCATTTAAATTCATTGAAAACGAGGCATTCATAGAATTTGTAAACGCCCTCAATGGTAGGGTGAAATTGCCTTCAAGGCATAAAATTTCTCGTGATGTTGTGTCATTCTATTTAATGGAGAGGCAGAAGTTGTACAAACATTTGAGCAACCCCAAAACAGCCATCCACTTGACAACCGACACGTGAACATCCTCGTGTCAAAAGATAAATTATATGGTTGTCACGGCCCACTTCATTACCGAAGATTTTGTCATGCACAAAAGGGTAGTAAACTTTAGAAAGGTTGATACTCACAAAGCTGAAGACATGGCCCGGGAGTTGCTAATTTTCATAAACGAGTGGGGGATGAAGAATGTCATGACGATGACCGTTGATAATGCCAAGACAAATGACGCGGCAATCAACATCATTGTGAAAGAATTACCGGGTATTTACGAGAATGGCAAACATTTTCACATTAGGTGTATGGCTCATATCATAAACCTAGTTGTGAAAATGGGGTTAAAACATGAAGTTTATCATGTAAAAAACCTACAAGATGCGGTGAAATATATTAGAGCCTCCCCACAACGGATCAAGACGTTTAAACAAGCCATGAAGGATGCGGCTGTAGAAAGTCAAAGGTTTTTGTGTGGTGAAACTCCAACAAGGTGGAACTCTACCTTTGAATTGCTAAGATCAGCATACGATGTGAAAGACGCATTTCTCGAATATAGCCATCAAGGTAAATATAATCAATTAATCAAATATATTTCAGCACTAAAATTAGCAATATTTAATTCTTTAGCAATCTGTTCAAATTTTAAATTGTGCATAACTAATTCAATTTTACTTTTTTTGACCTGAATCTTTTTCCTACATGTATATTAGAATTTTTAGTTGACTTTAGACTATAAAAACGCTTGATTTGGTTAAAAATTGAATGAGTTACAAGCCCCGCAAGGTAGGGTGTCAAATCTGGTTTTTTTTTCTAACAGCAATAAAATGTGATCTGATTTTGTTGTTCAAATGTGCATAACTCATTCAATTTAACTTATTTTGACCCGAATCTTTTTTCTACATGTATATTAGGATTTGTAGTTGAATTTAGACTATAAAAACGCTTGATTTGGTTATAAATTGAATGAGTTACAAGCCCCGCAAGGAAGGGTGTCAAATCTGATTTTTTTTTTCTAACAGCAATAAAACGTGATCTGATTTTGTTGTTCTTTTTTTTTTGTAGATCCAATGTTTTAGAAAACTGTGGGAAGGGTACCATCACATTCAGATTTTGAGATGATTAAAAAGATGATGGAGTTCCTTGAGAAGTTTAAGAAGAAAACTGAAAAAGTTTCGTGTTCAACAAAGCCTATCTTCCATACGTATACCCGGGAGATCCTACATATAGAGCAACATCTTAGGAAACATGAAACCAACCCGGATTTTATGTTTATGGTACCAGATATGAAAGATAAATATGACAAATATTGGGGTGACTATGATACTATAAGTGATTATGTCTTCTTTGCGACATTGTTAGATCCTCAATGCAAGTCAAAGTTTATGAAAGTTGTTTTTACCCAAATGCTTAAAGCCAAGAACAAAGATAAAAAGATGTCCGCTGATGAGATAGAATCCAAAGCACGTGAAAAGGTTATTGATATCGAATGCAAATTGGACAAGTTTTTCAAGACATACTTGGAAAGGTCAAACATGACCTCATCGTCTCAACAAGAAACTCCCGAAGAAGTTGTTAATTTTGATGACGAAAATGAATTCTTTGGAAGCTATATGACTTCGGGAAGTTTCCCCTCGACTTCGTCAGAAAGTCAATTGCAACGATACTTAAACGAGGACCCAATCGGATTTGACAAAGGATATGATATCCTCACATGGTGGAAAAATAATGCGGTGCGGTTCCCGATTGTTGCTCGAATGGCAAGAGGTATCGACCTTCTTTTACTCTAATTTAAATTTTTAATTTATAAATTTGTGTCGTGTATTATACACTAATTTGTTTATTAATAGATATTTTGGGGATGCAAATTTCCACCGTAGCATCCGAATCCACATTCAGTAACGGTCGTCGAGTAATTACCGACTACCGTACTAATTTGTCCGTTGTGATTGTGGAGGCATTGATATGCACTCAAGATTGGCTAAGAAAGAGTAGCTTGCCTATATATGACTACGACGAAGTGTACAACGTGTTAGCTGACGATGACCTCGCTATCGGTAATACACTAATACTTGTTACATCTTATTTTTAACTTCTTATTAGTATTTGTTACATTTTAGTAAGTAATAACATTTTTCTTTTGTATTATATATAGACATTGTGGATGCTATACACAACTTGAAGCTAACGGGGAAGAGATCGGAGAATTAGTCAAAATATCAAAGAAATGTTGGAATCCGCATATTAGACTTTGTTTTTTTTTTGTTGGTGAGACTTGGAAGTATATTTTGAATGTCGAAAGTGTATTTTGAATGTTGAATGTTTGAATGTTGGATACTTAATAACATAACTTTGACGACATCCATGTTTAATTTGCTTGTAATAATTTAAATAAAAGATTCATGGTTAATTTGCTTGAATGTTGAATCATTTATTAAAATGTTGATTATTTACTAGTATTAAACATCCACTTCTACATAAAAAAACCAATAAAACGCAAAGTAATTTAGTCGTTGCAATCACTCGAAAAACCAGCAAAAATCGGACCCGAAAAACCAATAAAATGCAAAGTAATTTAGTCGTTGGATACATCTAAATTTAGCCGGTTCCAAACTCGAAAAACCGGCAAAAACCGGACCCGGAACCAGAACCGGTAGCACCGGAACCGGTAGAACCGCCGGGCCAATTCAGTTCTTCATTTTGGCCGAAGCCGGTTCCCCGGTCCGGTTCGGTTCGGGCCGGTTCCGGCCGGTTCAGTTCTTTTGCTCATCCCTACCTTTACATTTCACCATAATCCGGATTTTGTCATTTTTGGCTAGGTACAAAGACCTCGTTGTTACAACATGTGAGTTCATGCAGTTTTTAACATCAAGCTTGGTTTTGAAGACCTGGCCAATCTGAAATGGTTTAACATGAACCTCTCCATTTGAGCATGTACTTGACTTAATCAACTCTTTTAGCAGTCTCTTCTTATCATCTTCATGAAATCCTGCAAATTGATAATCATCAGTGGCAATAACTTCCAACTCATCATCAACCATGTTAATCCCTTCATCTTTTGAATGATTGTTCAAGATTCCATGTTCATCTACATCAACATGATTATGGAATTCACTCATGTCTACATCTACATCAAATTGTATGTTAGAATCATCCAAATTGTATTCACTGTCATCAGAATCATCTCCACTATCCTCAGAACCATGGCCACTCTCAGAGTAGAAAGCCTCTCCACTATCATCACTCACCATACCCTCTAGATAATCCACTTCTGGTTGTTTTTCAAATGAAGTTTAAACATTAAACTCAGCATCATAATCAACATAAAGTGAGTAATCCTCTATAAATGGTTCATAATCATCAACTGTTGTAGTATTAGCTCCATCATCAGCTTGGCAGCTTGGTTCTTGTACATGGTAATTTCCCAATGGTTCTTCAGTTTCAACTACACTAGTGATCACTTCTTCTTGAGTTTCAATTTCATGATTCACCACTTCCTTTTGAATGACATGACTTTGTTTGCCTTGTGACCTTATAAATGGTAGAATACTCTTTGAGTAATCATGGCCTTCATCAACATCTAACACTTGTGACTGCTCATAATCAGGGTTCATAAACTTATTTAGATCAAGCTTTCTACTACATGATCCTGCTTCTCTCCTACAAGGTTTCTTTCTATTCATTTTAGGTGACACACTATCAAGATCCAACTCTTCAATAACTACTTTAGAAGGAGACTTGTAATAACTAGCTACCCTTGTCTGACCAGTTTCAATATACACCCTAATAAGTCTGTGTTTAGGGACATATGATACCATTTTAAGTACATCTTGATCATTACCTAAAGGCATTAAGCCATAGTCCAAAAGGTATTCAGGGACACATAAATGGTAGTAAAGGGTTTGCTTAGTTTTGTACCCTAGTTCTCGAACCATGTCGTCAAGCTCATGAACTGAAAATAAATCAGTAGCAACATCATCTACATATGCTACAACACCATCAACGTATTTCCTTCCAGGTGCTTTGGTGAAGACACCACTGTAGTGTATCTTCAACGTGAAATAGTTGTCATAATCTTCTGTAAACACAAAAAAAGAAAGAGTAAAATCAATGATTTCCTTACGTCAACACAATAAACCAAGAAAAAACAAGTTTTGTTGTAGTAATGTACCTTATATTTTTCCTATGTCCTCCACGGTTACATAATTTTCTTGAAAACACCATATTGATAGCACCATTGCAATTTCTGCAGCTTAAAACGCTAAATCCCAATTTCTGTTCTTGCTTCTACGATGGGAATGAACCCGACTAAACTTGTAACTGGTTATCTTCTTGGGAGAGGGACGGGTAGTGATGTACAAGCAACAAGTAATCATTTCATATCAAAGAGAGAAGGTTACAACTGAAATAACGAAATTACCCTGCAATATTTTATTAAAATATGAGTTAACGGTGAAATGCTAACGGAGTGAGCCGGAAGGACCATTTGTTAAAAGTTTTGAAACCACAGGGACCATCTGTGAGGTTTCTTGAGCTTAGGGACTAAACTTGATATTTTTGGAAACCACAGGGACCATTTTTGAAGTTTTGTCATTAAAAAATTAATGTAATAACAACATTCATACAAATTTGAAAGAAATACGAAAATAAAATATAAAATCTTCATGTGAATTAAACCTAATGCCCCCTTAGAATTTGGTTCCAACAATTAAATTTTTTCCAAGTGGCTAATGATTTTGATTGCAATGTATCCAACATCGAATATGAAGACATTAAATTAGTAACAACTAAGATGATATCTATATTTATTTCCGTATATGAAGAAATTAAATTAGTAACAACTAAGATGATATCTATATTTATTTGATAACGTAAATAATAATATATATATATCTATATTTATTTGATAACGATTTTCCCACTGTCCCAAAGTTGGTATGTAATCCTCAAGATGATTAATGTTTGATCTCATTTCAGTTTTGTATATGCTTGAATTTTAACTCCCAATTTAGATGATTAAACACCTAATATTTTTCGGTATAAAATGAATATAAAAGCATTTTCATTTCTTTACAAGGTATACAAATAAAACTCTTAAAATGCAGCAATTAAATAACCAAAATAGCTGGAAATCAATACTTGAGCTTGAATTTAAAGAAGTGATATTTGAATTATGTTTATGTTATATCTGCTGATACAATTAACAAGTCCATCTCTAAAAACAATTTATCATTCAAACAAACTTTAACCTTGATCTGCACTGTTTAATCAAAATCAAATTTCTTTTTAAAGAGAATCACACTTCCCATTCACATTCCCATTCCGATTCTCTCTTCTCTCTGATTTCATTCCAACATTCTCCAATGCTTTCTTCAACTCCTGAATATGCTACAATCCTTTAACCAAACTTATCAGCACTCGGCCTATATTTGGGTTCTTTCATCCGACACTTCATTTCCAGGATGGCTACCTGTGTGGCAACATAAGATGTGTATTGCCCTTCGATATAACATAAAATTAACGAAGAGTCATATTAACAATATAATGATGTTGGTGATTTGTTGTCATTAATATTATTTAAGTGTAATGGGATTACTTTGTTGACCAAAGGTGATCTTGATAAATATTAAACAAGTAAGGAAGGTGTGGAGTACACACTTGTTTAAGTTTGATCAAGTTTTCAAAGTACACTGTCATTTAGGGGTGAAGCCCCTAAACGAACGGGGGTCCGGGGGCAGCGCCCTTGGGAGCGGGGTCCAAGGGGCGGCGGCCCCTGGCTGGGGTCGAGCTGCATCAGAAAATCGTATTTTCAGAGAATTGATCATTGTTTGACCCTTATCCAAACTTCTGTTTGATGTCAGTTTTTATAGTTTATGACAGTTAGAAACTGTTATATGACAATTTTCAGACAAGGATCATAAATTCGGTTTTGGTCTCATTTTTATGGTACAGACGAAACTATTATCAAAGCATTCTAAATTCTTGTCTCTCCGAGTCTTATCCGAATAAAAGAATATTGGGAGTACCACCCAAATGCTTTAATCTGAAAGTGTTTTACATAATTCTCAGAATTCCAAGCCTTACTATACCCCAATTTCTAACAAAGATTAAAGCATTTATGTGATCATGACAAGTGGTGATTTTGTGAAGGAAATGACTAGTAAGTTTGAAAAACTGAACAAGTTTGAAGGGAAAGATTTTCGTAGATGGAAGAAGAAGATGAAGTTTCTCCTTACCACTCTGAAAGTGGTGTATGTTCTGAGTACACCCATGCCAGTCTTACCAGAATCTGTTGAAGATGAACCTTTGGAGGCAACAAGAAGAAGATCAAAGTGGGAAAATGATGATTACATATGTCGTGGTCATATTCTCAATGGTATGTCTGACTCTCTTTTTGATATCTATTAAAATTTCGAATCTGCAAAAGAACTATGGGATTCTATTGAATCCAAATATATGGTTGAAGATGCTTCTAGCCAGAAGTTTCTTGTCAGTAACTTTATGTGTTACAAGATGATTGACTTCAGGCCTGTTATGGAACAATACCATGAAATGTTAAGGATCCTGGGAAAGTTTGCTCAACACAATCTGAAAATGGATGAAGCCATTGCTGTGGCTGTGATCATTGACAAACTGTCCCCTTCCTGGAAGGATCTAAACACAATCTGAAACATAACAAAAAGGAATTGAGTTTGACTCAACTTGGAAACCATTTATGGATTGAAGAGTCCTTAAGGACTCAAGAACTTGATAACAATCCCAAAGGCAAGAACCAAGTTGGTTCCTCTTCTGTGAACATGGTGGATGGAGAAGGATCAAAGAATCAAAAGAAGTCTAATGGAAAAAGGAAGTTTAAAGGAAAGGATGACAAGTCTTCCAACAAGAAGGCTATAGTGGTGTGTTGGAATTGTAACAAACCGGGTCACTTCAAGAAAGATTTCCGTTTGCGTAAAGTGAACAAGGATGGTGCAGGACCAAGTGGATCCAAGGATCCAGAAAAGCAACAAGGTCAGAATTCTGTTTTCATGCAGAATTTTAACTATATTCAGAATTATATTTCTGTGATTTCTGAAGCATTTTATGTGCAGGATGATAATGTTGCATGATGGCTTGATTTGGGAGCAACAAGTCATGTTTGCAAAGATCTATATTGGTTCAAGGACTTTCAACCAATTGATGATGGATCTGTTGTGAAAATGGGAAATGTTGCAACGGAACCAATCAATGGTATAGGATCTGTTTTACTTACTTTTACTTTTGGGAAATATTTATTTTTGAACAATGTTTTATATGTTCCAGGGATTCGTAAGAATCTCATGTTTGAAATTGTATTAAATAATTGTGGTTACAAACAAGTGTTAGAAAGTGACAAATATATCTTGTCAAGACATGGTTCTTTT